TTTAAGGCAATACTGTAAAATACTTTATTTTAGCTGAAATTAATTTTCGCTGAAAAGACTTTTTGGGTGTTTTGTATGGAATTCATTTTCACTGATTTCTGATGAGTTGAATGTAAAATATAGGAAAAAATGTATATTCGCTGGATTTTATTTTCAGTGAATCATTCCTCCAGCGAAAATACCGAAAATTAATTTCAAGCGAAAATAAAGTATTTTACAGTATTACAATACCCAGATAAACTGGATCCCTTAGAAGCATTCTTACCATCTGTTGCAACTTATGGGTTTTATCTGGGAAATATTGCTTGATATACTGATATCCAAATGTATAGGATAGTAGATAACAGAATGTGGCACCAATGGCTGTTAGCAGACAAACCAATATCACACCATTAAATGAACCAAACAATGCTCCGGCTAACACATTCTACAGATATAAATAAAACATCAGTAACAGTTTTAGAGCATTTCTGAAAATGAAAATAAACGAAAATGATAAAATATTAGTTCTAAACCTGCAGAGAACAAATCTATAAAAATTGAATTCTTTTTTGCATGACACATGCTGCAACTTTCTGTGAAAAAGAGGTTAATCATTGAAATACAATTATTGAAATATTACTTATCGAAAAAATGCATCAAATAAATATCAAAATTCAAAAAGCAGATACATTTCCATGGAAACATTGATTATGTAGATTGTTCAAATCATTAAACAAGATCCTGGTCATTTTGAAGTGATCAAAAGAGGTAAGATTCCTAAATAAAACACCAGTTTACTGGTAACAGGGTAAAGGATAGTAGGGTAACAGTCTAAATAGCTACATGTACTGTTCTATGTGCTATAGACACAGTTCTTTAACATTGCTCAAAGCCGTGGCTCACAAACATATAAACAGTCTTTTGATATTAGTAGAAAATTAGTACTCTCAACAATAACTTACCAGGAATACAGATCCTGGAATGGCGAATGTCTGTTTATAAAGATATGCACTACAGAACAGCAGCAGGACATAGTTCTGATGTAGTGTTTGGTAGTGCTTCAATAAAGACGCTAATGCAGTTAATTCTTCAAAACTTGTAGGAAAATTTACTTCTGTCCTAATAACGAAACATAAAAGATGAATATGTTCGATCAGTCTTTGTGATCATTCAAAGATGTGATAAGTATCCTGTTACACTGTAATAAGATGTACAAGGTAATAGGGGGTTCCCAAATTGATAATGTTTGCGCGTTCATCGTTTGTGCGCTTGCGCATATCGCGTGACCTGGGAGCAACAAACTGGAAGGTAGGACAGATTTTGAATGTTCCAAACACGCAGAGTCGCAGTAGAATTACATCACGTCTGACGCTAATTCGGGAATCATGAATTAAAAGGATGAGTATCATATAATTAGTCTATTTTATAACAGAGGCAGCCACACTTGGTGACGTGAAAAATGGTGTACATCTGCCAATATGCTAGTCATTGACGTTATGTATTTTTCTTTTTTGGGTATTTTTTTTATTTAAGTGATGTAATCAATCATCATCATGTTAAATGCATCAAATTATTTTCTGTAACAACATTCAATTTCACTTTAGAATAGAATAGAATAGAATAGAATAGAATAGAATAGAATAGAATAGAATAGAATAGAATAGAATAGAATAATGCTATATTAAAATATTATTTTTGATTACATGTACATAGGAAAATTTCCAGATAAATTTTCACTGCTACATTGTTTTCACTGACTTGTAAAATTCAGTTTCTCAGTAGTGATACATGTACTTGGTGATTTAAACACAACCAATTTAAACTCCTTTTACACCAGAGAAACGTCACAGCTATTTTTCTCAGTGGATGTCAATTTGTTCCACGGATAGGTTGTTCAAAGTTGCTTTGTCCCACAAGTTCATACTTCCCAAAGTTCATTTGTTCCACAAGTTTATTCTTTCAATCGTTGGTCCGATTTGAGGTTAGCTTGTGCAGACCGTATTCATACCAAGATAACCCATGGTGACATACATGTATAGTGAATGACGGGTCAATGTAAAATGATTGATGGAGAGCAATTGAGAACAGCAGGACACCATACATGTATTTCTTTATTTATTTGACAGAAATTTACACAACTTTGTACTTTGAACTTGATTCTGTAGCAAACCGTTCATCATTGACATTAATATTTGACCTCACACACATACATAGCAATTGGGATCGTTCTGATCATAAGTCTGACGAAAGTTATCGGAAAGTATATTGGGATGAATGTGAATTGGGACGAATCTACTTGCGAATGCGTTGAAAGGAATGTGAATTGTGACAAATTGACTGTAGGGTGGACGAATCGTTTTTCTAACGTCTTTCATATCTTGTCTTGTAGGAGTGTCCTGTCCATGATTTGAACTTGCAATCTTCAACATGGATAGTCATGCAAATGAATGATTTGTTTTCATATTTAGCTTTATTGCAAATTAGTGTTTGCGAGAAAAGACTGGCAGGCATGGGAATTGTACCCAGGTCCTCCTGATTACTGTGTAGACAACTGACCCACAAGACCACAATTGATTGACTGGATGTGTTTGCATTTGATAAGACTATATAGTGTGTATATATATAGAAATACAACATATTTCTATTATTATTTCTAGTTACAATTGTCCAAAAAATTGCCAATTTTGTGTTTTTACTTGTGTAAACTATATGCATGCCATAACCCGTTAGTGTACATCTTGCCAATTGGGTGTTTGCCATTTGCGTTGCCCATACCTGACCCGACCCTAACCCTAATGCCAAGACACGTTCCTGTTAATAATTCCGTTGCCCATACCTGACCCGACACTAACCCTAATGCCAAGACACATTCCTGTTAATATTTGCTCAATAATGATTCTCTGTTGTGCTCTGTCTGCGGGTAAGTTGCATTGATGTCAACTGATTAAACAAGTCGCGTTTAAGTAATTTCCACTATTAACAAGTGGTTAAATTGTGACAATAAATGTGTGGACAAATATTATACACTTATTTTGGTGTAGACAGCTCTAGTTTAATTATTTTACACCATTACAAGTTGTTATATTGAGAGAATAAATGTATGGACTAATATTTGAGACTTATTTTGGTGTAAACAACTCGCTGTTTGATTAATTCCCACAATTACAAGTTGTTAAATTTGAGAGACTAAATGTGTGGACAAATATTTTAGACTTATTTTGGTGTAGACAACTCTCATTTAATAATTTTACACCATTACAAGTTGTTAAATTGAGTGAATAAATGTGTGGACAAGTATTTGAAACTTATTTTGGTGTAGACAACTCTCTTTTGATTAATTCCAACAATTACAAGTTCTTAAATTGAGAGAATGAATGTATGGACAAATATTGACCATTATATTTGTGAGTAAATACCTGTCATTTAATTAATTTCCACCTCTACAAGGTTGGTATATTGAGAGAATAAATGTGTGGACAAATATTTGATATCCATTTAGGTGTAAGAACTCGTGTTTGACCAACTTCCACCATTGCAAGTTGTTAAATAATGAAATAAATATACTGGTATCATTGAATATTTGATTTAATTGTGAAACTTTTCTAACAAA